CCAACGGTAGACATATTCCAAAAAGACAGACATGGATGCTTAAATAAGCAACATTCGCTTGGTGACTCCAATTATTTTTACACATTAAATCTTCATTGGCTCAGTGTACAGCATATATACTTAAAATACAATTGGACGAGATCTCGTTCAGGGCGAGAGTGCCACGAAACTTGTTTGTGTCCCTCGAATAGTGTGATTCTATATCGTCATTGCGCTCTATGTAATCATGCATTTTATAACAGCGGATATCATTTAGGGAAAAACTAGTCTATTGATTTTCTCGCATTTGCGTCTAATGTCTATTCTGAATACTTTTATTTATGAATAGATTGCTTGTTGGGTACTTCGGATATTAAACCATAAAAATTAATAAAACTATTTCGTTTCAGTTCGGTATTTAATCTCTATAAATATTTTAAATATGAAGGGAATGCCTTTGTTGCACTGAATAGAAACATCTCGTTTCAGTTCGAATTGTGAAATTTATAAATATTATTGAAGATGAAGGGAATGCCTTTGTTGCGATGGGAGTAAATTTACAGTTATTCATGACATGGCAATCAAAATCACGATAATAAAAAAATCACAATTCACAATAATAACACTGATACGAAATGTCATATTATCTATAATTACTGTTGAATTTGACGCATGTAATTATTCAGGCAGCATGTTTTGTTACTTGTCAGCTGTCTTGATTTGGTTTATTATTTACAACCCATCACTATTTAGCTCAGGTAAATCAATTCCTAGTATTTGCATTGCATTTTGGGTAAAATTATAGTAGTTGTCCGGACATGCTTTACTTCTGTATATAAGTATATTTGGTTTTGTGGCATCCCGTAGTTTTCATTTATTTTCAGTCTATCTATTTCTTTTTGATGAATGCCAATCCCAATTTATCCACTTGCAAATGAGTATTTACATTGTGATATGTCATATATTTAATTTGATAACAAACCGGTAACAAGAAAATGAAGATTCAATGGTCAATAATTTATTTTCAGTTGCCTAGGTGCTGTTTGTATGTGCATTGAAGCTGCCTAGGCCCTGGTTGCATATGCGCACATAAGAATATCCTAACATTTTACAATATGTGTTTTGTTTTGGTATTATTGTAGTCATTTTAGTTCATAATTGTGAATTAGTAAAAATAAATGTAGCTGTTATTGCTGTAACATTAAATCGCGATGGTCCTCGCGCAGCGCATGTTCGAATTTCATGTAAATAAATAATGTATTTCCGCGCATTGTATACGTCGCTATGAGTCCCATATCGAACAGGACGCGGCACGACGACTGCCGCCCTTTAAATATATCACTAACTTTTGTACTGTAACAGATAAGTTGGAGCTTTTGTCTGGCAAATAATAATGATGAAACTGACAATTGTTCTTTACTCCGCAACTCTGTTCTTGGCATGGGTAGAACTAGAACGACGTCACTGAAATATACATATAATGAAATCTGCCTATTAGGCTTCTTAACACTTGCATAAATAATTAACAAACAACAACTTTCGCTATAGTAAGTAATAATAAAACAATAAGTAAAATACTGGTAAATATGACTTGTGTTGTTTCGGTGATTTGTGATGGGGAGAATATTTTGGAGTTATAACTATTTTATGTTGTATATATCCCATTGGAGTAATGTTGCTTCTTTCTTTCATTGCGCCTATATGTCTATACACTGCACACTCGTGTGTGTGCCGTGTGTTCGTTATATCTTTTCTTCACTGATGTGACTGTCCCATGAGTCGTTTGTTTTTTGATTGGCCTTCCTCAGGTGCATCATCATTTGACTATTATTAAATTGCAATTCTTGTGTCACTTACATTTGTTAATTAAAATGATAGAATCAAGGCCACCACAAATTGTGTTTATTGGTTATTCTATTCTAAGCCTTGCAAGAGTTCCACGGCCACTGCTGATCACATAATTACTTCTAGTCGTTTGTGTGTTTGTTGTCCATTGTTTTATTGGAGTTCTAACCGTCTTTCATAAAATATGGCCTTGATGAATAATATAGCGTAATGACATTTTTGTTTACTTTTCAAACGATAGGTTCTATATCCATAACTGTCAGTGATGTAAACATTATGACAAGCGATAGGCTACCTTTAGTTTCATCATAACCGAAATGCAAATATTGAAAATAAACATCTAATAAAATACAAGTTAATTACAACAGTTTCTATCGAATTACGCAATGAAGTCAATTAAGTTACCAAAGAAAATTTGATATTTAGCATATTAAAAAAATGAACAGTTTTTTTGTAATCAATGATCCGATTTGTTAATATAATAACGTTATATAATGAAACTAGCCACGGATATTGATCTCCACACGCTATAGTTGAGACACGCTTATCTATTTGCTGCATATCTCCGTGTAGCACACCTACACGGATAAATCGACGTGATCTATGCGATGAAACAAAATGAAGCCAGTCAATGCAGCTTGATAGCTGTCAAATACTGTTAGATATTGAGTTCTACCTCTCAGTCATTTAAAAATGGATAGAAAATTGTTCCTACTGGCTAAAAATAACCATCGGTTAAAGCGGAGCAGTCGTCACCTGCGCATGCATCAGATGGGCATAGCGTGTCTTTGTTTACAAACAAGCGTCTTATCGTTTTGGCGTGTGTTGTTATCGTCGCTTGCGACTCAATTCCCGCGCGTGCGCAGGTGACGACCATCCCGCTTTAATCAACAATCATGTAACAGTTTTGAAACAAAATAACGTGATTCTTCTTTCGTTTTTATTTGTTTAGTGTGTATAACCGCGAACGACACGTGAATAAATTACACGTCATTTATATTATTAATCTTTACAGACGTTTCTACATGAAATTTGAGATTTCTTCCTAAATCCACTCGCTCAAGGTGATGACTTGTTGACATGTTAGAAGTAAATAAGCCGAGAGTTATAATATCCACAGTACATTACATTAATTGGTTGTAAACTCACCATGCTGGTTTACTTCAGAATGTCGATGTCCTAATTTCGAGCGAAACTGTAGTGTTCCTTTGTTCCCACTCAGAGATACCCGGAAACGAATGGATGTCAATGATGACACTCTTTCATCGTTATACACAAATGTTTTGCGAATTCTTAAGTCGACCTGGATGACTACAAACAAACGAATTGTTTCTATTTCTATATCGCTACTATAGAAATGAATATACGAATGGTATAGATATTCGTGTCCCCCGTCACGAAATTGATGATACGGCGTGCATGGTGACTTGAAATGTGACTTGTTTTTTCCTCACATTTTTCAACATAGATAACGTCCTATGTTCCTATGCGTTCTCTATTATTTTTTAAAATCACTGTTTAAGTTTCAATAAATCGAAAAAAAAATTGTGTGGTTCAGGTGAACAATTTAATCTTCCAGTTCGATTTTAAATATCCAACAAACCACTTTACATTTATTACCGAGTTGAAAGTTAACTCCTTAACCTTGAATGTGATATATCTTTTTAGTTTCTCTTGTTCACTACATCTACTTTTAAAATTCCATGTAAACCAACACATTAAATTTCAGAGGCGTTGTATGGGACCCACGTCAACACGATTGTGTGGCGCATTGAACAGTATTTATGCCGTCGTTTGCCTCGCGTTAAAACGCAAACTGGAAGTAATCATGCATATTTAATAGTAAGTCGGGATACGGTGTATTGGCGTCCCATTGTACCAAGCTTTTATAATTAATGACAGTAATTTGCGATAGGAAATCATTCCTTTATGTGGGAATTGCAAATCGTATTGTCTCCATAAATATAATTGTTATATAAAGTCGATATAATGCCATTGTATACGGGAGTATACACTTTATAACGGAATTCTTTTGTATACGAGAATGTACACTTCATTAATTATGCAAAACATGATTACATTCACTCAGTTTTACATTCGAGCTCACTATATTTTTGATATTATCGCAGATCATGCTTGAATAAGTGACGTCGTTTAACCAAGGTTCTGATCTGATATTTCAAAAATGTTTTGACGCATGTTGGAATCGTCATATATACATCTATAAAAACACGCGTGATAGTGCGTGTAATGGGAGCTCCCCGTAAACAAAAAGGTTCGGGGTAAATGTGCGCGAACTCACAGCAAGGAGTTATCACTTACATATTATTTTATATTGTAGGATTACATTGTGTGTGTTACCATGGAAACCTACATGAGGCTATGGGCGCATTCGCAACGATCTAAAAGTGGAAGGAGCGACGGTCACCGTACTGAATGTATTCTGTTCTGAAATCTACACCTTTGGCATATAGCTAGGAAATTATAGTTAGTGCGTAGACCAGTGCACAACACGACAGTGGTGCAGACACTGCAATGCATTAATAACGGCATTAGCATCGGTAAAGAATTTACCTGTTATTCTCGAAAACTCAGCTAGTCGATTGTTGGTCCGCTATATATTCGACGACGGAGAGACCACCGTGACAAAAATTACGCAAAACTATATTACTTATTTACGTCGTGAGAACCATTCACTAACAATCTATTTGATGGAGAATTACTGCCTAGCTGTCTCCGGTATACGTAATATATTCGATTTATCGCGCCAACTCGTATAGGTCTCCCGCAAGTCAATGTTCCACTGCCATTGAATGGCACCCAGTGCAAGTGATTACAACGATTTTTTGAGTTGACAATAGGAAAATCAGTAAGTTTGGACTTTATATATACGACTGGTTAATGTCATCTATATTTAGCGATAACTGATCCGTTTCTTTGTGTTCTTTTTTTTGTTGGTCTGTGATTTTGTAGTCTGGAGACGTGATACACGGGAGCTTGGTCATATCTGTGGTATCACGTATGTTAATTTCAGGAGGCGCACAGGCCGATTAGGAATTCATGTCACGTACGTTCGAAGTCAAGGCATTCAAACTGACAAATCTATGTTCCTATCGCTAGGAGTTTTGAGGTATACTTTACAAAATACATTTATCAAGAGCACTTATTCTTGAAAGCCGAGTTAGCTGTCAGTATACAGCTAGTATCAGCGTGAATTGCAGTCGCCGCTTCATACTTACCAGCATGACGAAAACGCGGCTGTTATTCAGCGCTATTGCGGCAATGTGTCTGATCTTAGCAGAGTTCTCACAGCCATCCGTAGAGGCAATCTCCGATGTCTACATTCTTGGCCTTTTCCCGATGACAGGATCTTGGGCTGGCGGACAGGGTCAGTATCCGGCGATTCAGCTCGGAATCGAACACATCAACTCTGATGCGAGCCTCCTGAGCGATTATCGAATAGTTTTGAAACCGGACGGAGTAGAAGATGCCGATACCTGGGTAAGTACTGCTTTTATTTATTTACCTTGCAAAGTCGAATAGATAATGTACACGACAATGAGAATTTTGTATATTTCTGTTTGATATTGCGTACAGCAAATACACATATATACATATAATGAATTAGAAAATGCGCATGCACTTTGCATAAACAGTACGTACAAAAAATTCAATGCGCACGCGCATTTGCCTAGATCGAACGAATGTTATTTTGTGCATGTCAAATACATGGTTTGAGGATGGCGATGATCAAATGGGCCTGTCAACTTAAATTAAACTTTAAATAGAGAGAGACCTTGGTTATTTCACTGTTGGGGAGGGGGTAGGGGATGTTCCACTTATAGAAAGCGTGTAATGGACGCGCATCCCAATAAATTAGATGTACCGCTATACATTTATCCAAAAGAACAGGCCAAAAATTCTATGTATGGAAGATTGCCGTTATTTTAAGTAAGGAATACATTGGGTAGAGATTTGATCCCACATTACAAACTTGAACGTTATCATTGCGTCGTACATGTGCATACATATGGTTGTTCGGGATTGCCTCGTAGTTGAGTTTTTGCTGTTTTTTCTCGGGTTTAGCTGTTTTCACCAGCTTTTCGACCGGCGTTCTAAAACAGCTTGCACAGAGCCCATAGAAAAAAATGCTACAGTGGCGCGCGTCTTAGCAACATAGAATGTTCTGTGATGTAGCTCCGTCCCCGAGAATGGCGTGACATCATCAATGACACGTTTAGTGTCTTTCGATTTTCATTTTGATTATAATAATATGTAATTTGCATTTTATTTGTAATTATAATACCTAGAAAAATGTGATGGAAGATATGCCACCGTTCTTTCTTTCTTTTGTAAATTGAATAGAAAAAGACAAGAAGAAGGATTGATTTAGGACTGCAACTAAAATATACGTCTTTATCATCACTATGATACAGATTGCGCCACGTACACTGAGAGCACGCTGTGATGCTGATTACGCGCACGTACACTAAATACACGCCCGCGGCGTTTACTTGCTGACGTGAAAACAACTCGTGTCTGCTAAAAATAGTGGAACATGAACCGTGATAGACGACTTAAAGACCAGCTGACACGACACAAGACTAATATAGCAGTGACATCCCGGCGCCTTTACACCGCCTGCTTGAGTTAATTACAAATTGCAGTTAATATGAGGAAATGCGAAACTAACTGTTGTAGGCGTAGACAAATAGCTGGCCGTATTGCAAGACTTGTGCTTTATAGCATGCAATGTGACAGCATTAGACGAATCGGCTTCTTAACAAAATGACTCCATGATCATTTCCGTTATTCTAAAGTGATGTCATATCCGGGTCATAATTCTGGTCTGCCCTAAATGATCAATATTACGAGATGAGCAAGCTGAAAAGTTATTATTGTGTCTATCTAGTCACACTAAATCCTGTGATACCGTACACACGATGCTGTAATACACACAACATACCCACATGTTATGATAATAAAATCCATTCAACGAGAACTATGTTTATAAGATGACTTCTTATATTTCCAAGACGTATCTAATTTTTCTCGATGTGTAGGATGACAACAAAGTTGTTTTAACTGTCGATATTATTGACCCATCTGATCTATTACATTAATGCCGAGATCGTCAATTTTTAAATGTCTCAGTTTTACATCGTATCGCTGTCATATGGCCTACATTCACATTGATGATATAATGGACTACATTGTGGAATGCCATTTCAGATCTCCCGATGTACAATATTATCACATTGTCTGACAAATGAAGCCGAATAAGCCACATAGACAGTGCAATAATGGAAACCTAGCTGAGTATTCACAGTACCTTAGTTCGCCATTCAAAACCACAACACGCATTTAAGGCTTTGTTATTTTAATAAAATATTAATTATAATAATAAATTCAGGCAAACCGCAAAATACAACGGGATGTTTTCTGTACCATCTAGCTTGTCATTTCTGTAATTTAAAAATGGATTGACCTTGGTTAAACAAAAGATCCATCACGTACAGTTCTGGAACAGTGGGTCTAACAAACGATCGTAAAATATCAATTATATGTCTTAACATTTAATTACCGATGTTTTGGACATAATATCGTGTAATAAAGTGGTTTTCAAAAAAAAAAAAATGTGTGAATGTTGGCGAAACGTAGTTCTCTAAAAAAAACACAATAAAAACACGAAAGTGTCAACGTAAACATTGTAGATGTTGTTTTGATCCATGTAATGTGTTACTGAAAACTACAATGGTAACAATTTCTGTAAGGATCTAATCTCACAATACAAGACATTTACACACTTGTATGTTTTGTTGACTTGAGTAACATTCAATAGAACGGACAGAAAACCATGTACTTTTTAAGATTATTGACACCAATTAGCAGTGGGATAGCATAGGGAACATGACATCACACAATTTATTTCACTACCCTATATTTCTTCTTCTTAAGATTCTATGCTGCTATGCTCAGCACAACAAAACAGTGACTGACATTTCTAACCAGAACGTGAACAACCAAAAGCAGTTCAGTAGCTGCATTAATTTGTATACTGTCTGAATGAAGGAGTCCAGATAAATTAATACTTAAATGTACTTACTTGTAATTAAATTGAGATAAGAGCTTCTCTCTTTATTAAAAACATAAAATAGAAATTTACCAATTTGAAGGTTACTCAGTGCTCAGACTGTCTGATATATGGATATAGACCTGTTGTATATTCCAGCAATGTGAATGTAATCACGTATTGCGCAGTGTTAATTATATTGTAGGAGAAAGTACTATTTTGTTTCAATACTACCCGAGTTGACAACTCAGAGTTTTTGATCGGGAAGAGAGATATTTTGTTTAATTCGTGTTCGAATGTTAACGCAATAAGCTGATAATCATACATTTAAATACATGCAGTATAGTTGTCGTGATATATTGATCTACGTTAAGATATTTTAACACGATAAAAGAAACAGTATATTGTAATAGGTCATTTCTGAACGGTAATTATATATCAATGTTTTCACTGCGTTCTTAGAATTTTGAAATAATTGTAGTTTCATCTCCACCTCCCTGGTTGTAGTATACGTTAACACACCCGTAATGACTTAACAACGCACTTTGTTATCAACCTTGCAGATTATCTTTGTTAGTATTTAATGCCAAAACGTCGCCATTGTCTTTCATTTTGGTATTAGAATTTGCAGTTGAAAACTACCATTAATAATACCATTTTTTCCTATAGATTAATTAGATATATCATGGATTATTTAAAGGGATTAAAGTGCGATGGTCGTCACGCAGCGCATGTTCGAAATTCACGTAAACAAACAATGCATTTTACACGCCTTGTATACGTCGTTATGAACAGGACGCGGCACGACGACCATCGTCTTTTAAAGTATAAAAAGCTCACTTTGATGCCAAGAATCACTACCACAGTTATCAAAGTACAAAGTAACCAGAGTTTAACAATATTTTCATAATGAGATAAATGACCTCCATTTTCTAATATGTTTATTTCATCTAAACTTACCTTGCGTGCATACCTGTCATAATAGCAATATTTGAATTGGTTTTTAGTCTCTGCATTTTGGCATTTATTTCGAAATGTTGTTTTAAAAATTACGACATCACATTCCAAAAAAGATAGTTATATTTGTTATTTGTTACCTTAATATTTTCTATTATTGTCATAATTGTCTTTCTCATTCACGTCCAGAAAGAAAATTTCAGATACTGGCAACGTATGTTACCATGGTAGCACGGTATGAATGAATAAAAACAAAACAACCATATATTCAATGTGTAAAACAAGATTCAGTCTCTCCAATGCTTCAACGTTATACCAGGACTACAATACGAACAAGGGTGTTCAAGTCCAAATACAACCCAAATGGGGCGGATGTGTTTGCTTTCATCATAGCATCAAACCAATTACATTTAAGCAGTGTCACCTTGAATATAATATCAACTAGGCTGCATTTTACAACAATTCGAATTCAGAAAAACCAATAAAATCCATCTGAATTATAGCTCGACGTACGCGTACTTTATTTGAACTATGTATCCTCCATTATATTGCCATTGCGTGGTTAAAATTAGTGCCGCTCTATTCCGTTTACCTGGCAATTTCAATAGTTATGGACCTGAAGAAAGAAACAACAGGTTCTTTTACTAAACACTCATCAAACACAGTAGCCTTAATGATACACCCTGTGCGTAACCATGACAACCCCACTAAGTAGTTGACCCTTAACACAGGTAATTTAATTTCAAATCACCATAGCCTACTTAACGGTATTGTCCGTAGTTTACGATATCGTAACGTTAAAACGCGCATATCAAGGCATTTACGGTCAGTGTTTCCCTTTACATCGGTGCACCAACATTTTCATTAGATGAATCAGGATTCGCTTCAGTAGCTTGCTTTCCCTCTTTTGATAATGGTAATAGTCATGTTTTAATTGTTTTGGAAAAGTAAATTTTTTAAGTAGCCAACTGACACGTCTACGGCGAGTAGTTAAGTTAAGTGGC